CTAACCATGGAAGTTTGGCAGGAATAGTAGGCCTATAAATAATACTTTCAAGTAAAATCACGTCGGTTTTATTTTGACATTATGAATACAATTGCTGCCCTCAAATGTTAATCTGAACTAAAATAAACCTTTGTTTATAACTACTACAATATTACATTTCATTTTGTCCAAGGAGCTGTTTTGTTTTATAAGCTTGTAAGAAAAGTCAAGTATAGCTCCATCATTGCTCAAAGTTAAAAAATATCATAGGCTACTTTATGATGTTAGTTTTAATAAAAATATAATTAAAAAAATTAAATCAAGGAAATTTCTCGGGCATTTCTTTCTTTTTGCTGTATCGGAAACGTACCGAACCGTGACACAAGTGTATCATATCGAACTGAACCGTGAATTTTGTGAACCGTTACACCCCTATGTAAAACGTATATCCATTTTTTTTTTTTTTTTTCATTTTAATGGTTTAATTAAATTAAAGAGGTCATTTATTATACCCTTTTACAAAGTCTTGATTATTTTGATTTTGTAGAATAGGTTTTCATACTTTACATATTTTTCATTATTGCAGCACCTCTATTCCTAGACTGTACCACTTTGTTTAGTTCCTGTCTCTATGAACCCCTCTGAAAAGTGTAGTGTGCTCTGATTGGTCGCTGGACCAGTGGGTTGTGATTGGCCATCCGCTTCGTCACGCCCCTTACCATAACCACGAGTTTTAACACACTAATGTAGCTTAACCAGGCCTTGCCCTTATTTTTTTTCTTTGCATATGCCTTGGTTAGGAATTATTGAAATGAGGAATAATATGGCACGTTCATTCCCAGAAGAAAACTTCCAGGGCGCTTCAGCCTTCAGGGCGTTTCAGGGAGTGCGCACTGATATAGAGAATAACTCCCTTTGGAGTGACTTTGTGACTTTGCAGAACTACAGTAAATAAAGTTAAAAATGTAAAAAAGCATAATAGGTCCTCTTTAATTCATTAAAACAACATGTCAATTGAATTCATAACGTTTAATTTGATCAATATTTTAAAATCCAATCAAATGAAAATATGACAATTCTTTTTCATTGAACATTTTATTATACAATAGTAAGATATTTCTATCATAATTTATTTAAGTTAACCTGTTTCTGTGCAATAATTGCTGACGCTAGTCCATATCGTGAATATTATGAAAACCTTTTCACAATATTCTAATTTTGAATTTGGGGTTTTCATAAGCTGTAAGCCATAATCATCAAAATTATAACAAATAAAGGCTTGACATATCTCACTTTGCATAATGAGTCTATATAATATATTAGTTTCACCTTTTAAGTTGAATTAGTGAAATAAATGAACTTTTGCACAATATTCAAATTTTTCGAGTTTCACCTGTATACATAAATGCCTCATTAGTGTGTGTTTCTACGGGCTGCTATACGTAAGGCGTCCACCTTATTGGAATGGTCAAATCTGGTCCGTGAACACTCGAGAGCAAGTTGACTGCATCCGCAACCTAGTTATTCACACGTTTGAATATCTATATCTGCAATAGGCATTAGCAGATGATTTTCACAGCATTCAGTTTATCATTAATGTGATAATTCTGCATATTGCTTATTGAGTTATACACATAAACACAAACCAGCACATTCTCACCTCTGAAAGGTCATCCCATTTCAAATGGAATTTATAGCTTGGTGGTTTTTGCTTTAATTAATGCTGTGATAATTTCTATGAAAATTCATTGATTTGTCAGTGTGAAGAACAGCATCATGTTAACTGTTCCAAGATGGCGGACGCATCAACGTGTCTGGAGTGGTCGAATGTGGCATCTTCGTATCTATGAAAAACCTGCCAGTTTAAACCAATGTGACAAGATTGTATCGTTTCCATAGAACCAGCTCTTTACTTAAAGTCTGTGTGAACCGGAAGTTGCAGTGTTGTGATGTATTTCCTTAATGAAACTGACATCATTGGAAACAATCCTCCACTATCTTTCCTGTGAGTGCGCTTAAATATCATTCTCTGCATGTTTGGTGTGCTGTAAAAACAGTGTATTTGGTGATGTTCTGGGCCAAGCATATCACACGGACCTGATCCTCTGATTCATAATGAGAAGCAGGACCGCTGGCACTATCATAAACACACTCCTGTCATCTCTCAATGATATTCTTAAAGTATATGCACAGTTTAACAAACCCATTAGTAGTAGTATTTCTGCTGTAACTCGGTTCATAGTTTCTCATGCTTACTATAGATTATTGCAAAGACTCGTGGTTTTGTTATATATAATGTGTTCTTGGAAATAAATGATGTCTTAAATAATGTATTATGTATATTATTTTAATATGTCAGGATAAGTTATAACAGGGTAATCCAGATTTTTGTGGATCAAAGGTGTTCCAATCTTACTAAAGAGTTTTGAACAACACATACAGAGGGTTTGATCCAGATTACGTGATCTAATCCGATTTCAGAAGACTTTTTTTCTTTTAAACAACCCATTTTCAAGATTTGAACCAGTCCGAAAACCAAAATCTGATTACATTTCTTTTGAACAACTGGGCCTTAGAGACAGACTGATAAAAGTTGCACTGAAAGTGGATGGTGACTGAGGCTGTCAGTTTAACCATGGAGGGAAGGACCCCCCAAAACGGGGTCTATCATGGAAGTTAGCCAATAGGAAGACCATCTGTCTAAGATTGTGTGCCAGCGTTTGGCACCTAACCAACCCAATTCCTCGGGCTGACATGCTTTGTTCTGCACAATCTGCTCTTTGTGCTGTCCATTGCCTTCATTTTGTTCTCCCAGTTTTGGGGCCGACCAACACAATCTCACTTGCACATTAATGAGCCACAGATCAACATTCAAAGGAATGCACATTCAATCCTGTGCTTCTGTTTTGTGCTTTTGTAAAACATCTTCCAAACTCAAGATTAAGTTGTCAACGTTTTATTTTCTTATATATACCCTGGCCTAGTCGATCTGAGAAATCACTGACTGCTAAACATGCAAGAGAATTTATAATATAATGTCAATAATTATTATTTATTTATTTGTTGCACTATTTTTCATTTTCAAGTATGTAAGACTTTAAGAATTATTTAATTAATGTAATGAAGATAAATGTTATTTCTAGTAGTATAATTTGGAAGACGCATTATTAGTGAGCATAAAGAGTGGTTATTTTATTAGTGGTAAAGATATTTTCTTGTTTTAAAACATACAATGTGCAGCTTTAAATTGTACCTTTTGCCACACAAAGGTTTATCTAGTGTAAAATTGTATCCATAAGTTGGATTATATTTCATTTAGGTGGTCATGTGACGGCTGATCCCAAAACCAAAGATGTGTTCACACAGATGTTGGAATTACTTTAAAACGTATATTTACAACTTGTAAACTCTACCGCTATATGTGATGAGACGCTCAAAATGGCAGCAGTTTCAGCTGTAAAAATTAGTTATCTAGTAATGTTTATGTTGAATAATTCCTAATAATGTAAAAATAATCAGTTTAATGTAGCTAGCGTAGAGTTACTAATGTCTTAAATAAGGTAAATAAACGTAAGGCATTTGCATAACTGTTACTTGCATTGTGGTTGTTGTACACATTGTGGCGCTAATATTTATGTTTAATTCAGTTTTTGAAAGGAAAGATAACAAGGCTGTGAGGGATGGAAGTACAGTGAGCCACAGACCAACATTCAAAGAGTTCAATAGATTGTACTGTTGTTTAACAACAGACCGATTGTTCAGCTGACATAACGTCTTTCCAAAAAAGTAGACAAACACGTCATAAAACAGTTTTGAAACTAAGTTGTGAAAATTACATGATCTAGGATGTTTTTGTGTGCCATTGTAAATCAATACGTTTTTTCATGTTTTTAAAAGAAGTCTCTTGTTTACCAAGGCTGCATTTATTTGATTAAAAATACAGTAAAAAAATTGTGAAATATTATTATAATTTAAAATAACTGTTTTGTTTTTTTATATATATATATATTTAAAACTGTAATTTATTCTTGTGATGCAGAGCTATATTTTCATCATCATTACTCCAGTCTTCAGTGTCACAGTGATTTGCTGCTCAATAAACATTTATTATTTTTATCAATGTTGAAAACGGTTGTGTACATTTTTTTTTTTCAGGATTCTTTGATGAATATAAAGTTAAAAAGAACAGCATTTAATTGAAATAGAATCTTTTTTAACATTATAAATGTATTTACTGTCACTTTTGATCAATTTAATGCATCCTTGCAGAATAAAAGAATAAATACTTTAATTTCTTTCCAAAAAAAAAAAAACCTTACTGACCCCACACTTTTGAACGGTAGTGTATAATGTTACAAAAGCTTTCTATTTCAGATAAATGCTGATCTTTGGACCTTTCTATTCATCAAAGAATCCTGAAAAAAAAATGTTTTCAACATTGATAATAATCAGAAATGTTTCTTGAGCCGCAGATCAGCATATTAGAATGATTTCTGAAGGATCATTCAGCTTTGCATCACAAGAATAAATGACATTTTATTATATATTCAAACAGAAAACAGTTATTTTGAATTGTAATAATATTCCACAATATTACTGTTTTTGTTGTTGTTGTATTTTTAATTAAATAAATGCAGCCTTGGCGAGCAGAAGAGACTTATTTTAAAAACTTTAAAAATCTTACCGATCCCAAACTTTTGAACTGCAGTATATATATATATATATATATATATATATATATATACTGTATATATTATGAATAGCCTATATATAGGTAGGCATATGGATGATCACTTCTAATTGGACGTCTGTTCCCACAGCCTAATGTGAGCCCTCACATCATTATGGAGCCTTCACATGACAAGACACTATGCCTAATGTTTTTAGTTTACTGTTTTTGTATTTATTTGACAGGGAAACCTTGAAAAATCACTTTGAAAGGACATGAGGATTAATAAATAATCGCATAATTTAAAGAAACTTGCAAAGTAATATTTTTTTTGTTTCTCTTTCCTTTATAGCTCAGCAGTATCAGTAAAGCCATCAATTCCACAGAGACGCCGCTGAAGGAGAAACATGCACGCAGTATCCTTAATTCAGACATCTGTTTATTATTGTTTATTCAACTATTATCATACTAGGTAGGTCAACTGAACCCTTCGCTAGAGGATAAGGAGTAGAACTGCAATCCGGTCGGAACTTCTGTGTTTGTTAATATGGGTTTAAAAGTGTTGAAAATAGTTTCAAACTTTGGTGTCTGATAATGTTGTTAATGCTTGTCATATCATTGAGTGTGTTGACACGCACATTCTTAAACCGATTATAATAAGCTGACATCATGCGTGGTCATATAAACACTTTAAAGCGTTTTCCTTTATTGGTGTAATATCATAAACGGCTTAAGAATAAACTGATCGACAGAGCTAAATTTTTGACCATTACCTGGATTTCACCCAGCATGTAAACACTTTAACCTGTTCTGTCAGTTTATTGAAGTGTGCATGTGGCAGGAAAATGTCCTTATATACACGTAAGGCTGCTCACTGCAGAGCAAATGGGTGGAGCTTACATCTAGCTCCTCCTCACTAGACATCCAGCGGGGAGGAACGAATGTAATCTGGGCCTGATGGGTGGAGCTAGAATATCCAAGCACATCCTAACCCTACCCACAACTCTTTCCCTCCACCACATTAGATGTCCAGAGAGGTGGAGCTGGATGTCATTTGACTCTGCAGTGAGCACAGCAGATGTTATATACAGCAGATGTAAGCACATCCAGCCACAGCGAATGTTTTGCGGTAGGGGAGGAGAAATATATCGCAAACTCCGACTTTTTGTTGACCCAAGAAATACACTGCCCAGACAAAAAAAAAAGTCACTGTTTGGATTTGTTGAAATAGTCTGTGATTGGATCATTATTGCAGTTATGATTGTATTTCTAGCATGTTACATGTTTGGCAACAGTTCAACAGTTCTTCTAACTCTAATTGATGGAGTGTGAAGCTTTTCATTTCTTTAACAACCATGTAGGAAACACCTCATGGCCAAATTCCAGGATGACAATGTCAAGATTCATCAAGCTCAAATTTTAAAAGAATGTTTGGGAGGAGCATGAAGAATCATTTTCACACATGAATCGGCTCCTCTGAGTCCAGACCTTTAACTCATTGAAAGTCTTTGGGATGTGCTGGAGGAGACTTTACAGAGTGCTGGACTCTTGCATTGTCAGTACAAGATCTTGACCAAAAAAAAAGAATGCACCTCTTGATGGAAATAAATGTTGTGATATTATTTCCAGCGACTTTTTTTTTTTTTGTGGCCAGGCAGTGTATTTCAAAAAATGTGTTCTCGTCTCGTGCAGCCAAAGTACAAGTGGTACAGTTGTAGAAACTTCAAATATGAGAGGAGAATGAGTCTGTGCAAGTTTGACATTTTGAAATACTCTGGGGTTTTAATGTTTTATTTAACATCACAACTCACATAATAAATAGAATACTCTTGAGTGAACATGTGTACAGGACCATGTACTTTTCATAATACATATACAACACCGAAATGCAACTGTTTGCCGTAGTTATTGTGTAGCAGACATTACCTCATAGCACCATCTCGCATCCAGTCATTGCTAATAATCAGTTTGAACATGGATACCGTACTGGTGTGAAGTCTACATATCAGTCTTGAAACAGTTACACAACAGACTTTCCCTTAGTTTGATGAATTGTGATATTGCATAAAACAATTTATTAGTGTGATGTGATAATCAATTGTGTTGAGATCTTTTCCTTAAAGGCATGAACAGGAATTATTTTGGGAACCCACAGAGAGAAGGGGGCCTATACCTTCTGGTCATATGCTGTTGGTCTGCCGTTGCCAACCAGCGCCATCCTTAGCTGGAAGTTCTCCCATGTATTACACAAAATCTTGCGTGATGGTCACCGAAATGTAAGCATGCTTTCATTTATTATTTATCTATTTTTGAGCACAGATGCATGCAATCCAAAATTCAGTTCTCTTTCACAGCTTATTGCGCTTGCATGGTCAAATACACACCCAATTGTCAAAATGCACATCGTGTGGAGTATTTATGTAAACACAATCTGCTATGTCCTACGCGAACGTTAACAGTTAGGAGAGAATCAGATGTGTAACAGTATATTAGATCAGTGCATTCATTCTTAAAGGGACAGCAGCCTCATAAACCTGCCATCCGTTTCATTAATGTTAATAAAATAATCACTCACTGCTTTTGGCTGGATCACTTTTGTATCTTTAATATGAATCAATTTATATTTAATTCATAGAGCGAAGACTATACAGTGTTTTATTTTTACATTTGATTATTCAAATTCTGTACTTCTTACTGCATGTTACATAAACCTAGGCTACTGTACCTGGAAAACCTGTAAAATTAAATTAAATTTGTTAAATTAAATTTGTTCAGGTATTTGTCTTATTGTTTGAAATTAGCTTTCTGTGTTCCTATTTGTAATATATAAAATAAAAAATTGCCTGCGTTGCTTTATTACAGAAGATTGCCAGTCATGTGAGTAATGATTGCAGTCAGCTTAATACTAATATTGGGTTGACTAAAATGGGAAGACAAACAAAATAAATGTCAAGGTTCACATTTAATTCAGTGTGATTTACTTCGGTCAAATAGGAAAAGTAACACGAAACAGTAAACTAGAATCAAATCTATGCATGTATTGAATCGAAATTTGATTCAAAATCAAGAATCGATTTAATGAGGCACCAAAATATTCCCACCCCTATTGTTTTAGAAACATTTTCGTATTTCTTAAATATATTCATTTCAATTACAATTAGAAATCAAAGTATGTGTGCATTGTCTAATGTCTTTTGTTCTTGGAGCAGACTGTATTGTTTATTGTCTTATTCATTCTTACCAGAGCTTACAAGACTGCATGAGACACTACAGCAACATTGCTGAGACAGGGTTAATGTGGGTAAGTCAAGGTTCATCCACAAAATCCCTAATCTCAACATTCACAAAAAAAGGAAACTTCGTTGTGTATTTCTTTTTGACAGGTTTGACTGAAAAAATGTAATGGTTTATTGTCAATCATTTCCATCTTCAGAGTAACACGCGAGACAGACATGGGTATGCACAGCTGGTTTCTCTACATTCCAAACTCCTCTGCACCAAGATTGAGTTCCACACAAAGGTACATTTTGATATATTCACATTAAGCCCATAATATATTTTCCACATTGAACAGCCATTATTTTAGGTCAGTGGTTTTTAGCCTTTTTGACTTCAAGGTTCTCTTTTGTATGAGACAATATTCAAAGGCCCTCCAACCAGATCTCATGAAAAAATTTAACTCTTTTACGAGGTGGCGATTTTGTATGAAAACGTATGAATAAAAAAACACCCATAAGCAAATCATACAGAAATGTATGCATGACATTGTACAAATTCATACGAATTAACCACCAATTTGCCAAAACTTAAAATTGTAATGAATTGTGATGAGAGTGTGTTGGGCCTCTTGTTGTAACTCTGCAAACCTTTGGCATATTGACACCAAACTTTTCAGTCACCTCACACTGACCACAACACATTAATCTGGTAACATTAGTCAAAAGGGATAAGCATTTAAATCATATTATTAGTGATTGTATTTATGATTTTTCAGCTATTTTGATCTAAAAATGTCTTAAATTACTCTTTGTTGCAGTTAGTCTGATGCTCCCAGACATGCTTACATAACTCATTATGCCTTTTTTATTCTTGGCCCTATTAGTTGCTGCTTGCAGCTATATTTTCATTTACAATTATTTATATATCTACATTTAAATAATTTTAAAACTTATTGGGGCTCCCTTGGAGGTTTGACGAGGCCCCCTAGTGGGCCCCGGTCCCCTGGTTAAGAATTACTGATTTAAATAATAAAGTATACCTCAGTTTACTCAGAAGTATTACACTTAAAATGTGAAAAGGCTGTTCTTAAATATGGTGAAATCTTTTAAGTTTTTCCATATGATGAAAATGTCATTTAAATTGATAAACCATAAACTTGCTCTAGACTGAAGTGATGACATCTCCAGCAAATATAAAGGGAGGATTTTTTTTTTTGCATTAAATGCCAATGGTTTAAAAACTGTGACAGTTTTTTATTTTATTTTTTTATTTTCTCATTAACATGCCAGGGATTGGTGGCTTGTTATGAGCCAAATGTAAATGCTCATGTGAATAACTTTTGTGAATGTTTTTTTATTTTTATTTCACCAAGTAGCACAATGGATTCCAGTGTGAACAAAGGGATAGTCCTACTTAGTTGAAATGAAGTTTCTCTGCGCTCTCTTTGCAGCATTCTGAAATCCCAGCCAGTCTAGAGGTCTCAGATGAACTCCTGGAGCGGACAGCGGGAACAGACATCAATAATGTGTATGTGGAATTCCAATTACTCTATATTTATTTCTTTTGTATTATATCTCGGCAACAATAGCTTTTCAGACTTTGCGCTACAGGACCCCTACATTAGGTCTCCAATTATTATCGGTACTCAATTATTAATAATGGTTCTTTTTATAAATGTTGAAAACAAATTTTTGCTGCTTAACACTTTTGTGGAAATTGTGATAGTTTTTTCAGGATTCTTTGATGAATGGAAAGTTTAAAAGAACACCATTTATTTGAAATAAAAATTTCCATTACTGTCACTTTAGATCAATTTAATACCTCCTTGCTAAATAAAAGTATTCATTTTTCTTTCATTTTTTTTCTTACTTACCCCAAAACTTAGAATGGTGGTATATCATGGTTTCCCCAAAAAACATCAAGCAGTGCAACCTTGATAATAGTAGGAAGTGTTTCTTGAGCACCAGGGGCCTCATTTATAAAACTTTGCGTAGGATTTGCGTCAGAAGTGGCGTACGGATGAAACATAGGACGTGCGTACGCACAGAAATATTCGGATTTATAAAACCGTGCGCACGCACATCCTACGCATTTTTCCCTTAATAAATCACAATCAATTCTAAATTTAGCGCAGCTTTTGCGGCTTCATGTCACGCCCATAGTTGCCCATAAATAGTCCGTGAAACGCCCACAAGTTAATATTCATCGATTGCGAAATCATGGCAAACATAGAGAGGAAATCAAAAAAACGTAACTTCACTCAATGTGAAGTAGAAGTTATCATTGGCGAGGTGGAAAAGAGGAGAAAAATGTTGTTTGGAGGGCACAGTGTGGGCATTACTAATGGCAAAAAGGCACTTGAGTGGCAAAAGGTTGCAGACGCCGTAAGTGCTGTAGCCTCACAACCTCGGACTGTGGTCGAAATAAAAAAGAAATGACAAGCTACAGATGTCGGTTATAATCTACTTGGAAATGGGAAATAGTTCAGCGCAAATGTAATTTCTTGCAGCTTTCTGAATGGTTGAGACATACGTCATACGTTATTTTATCAAAAATAAAACAAACTAAAGGCATATGCATGAAATACCTGCATGAATACCATGATTCCGTAGCTGATAAAGACATTTTTACTATGAAAACAACTTTCCCCAGTGTACATCATGTATCAAATAATACATCTATTTATCTATCTATCTCTCCCTAATTATCTATCTATCTGACTGACTATCTAGCTATATCTGCTCCGCCAGACGGACACATTGGCGAGAATATCAGTTTTGTACATTATTTCGTTCTGTTTACCATCTTATTTATGAGGATGAATTGTATAACATGCCAATATTATTGCAGAACATAACGGTCTACAATTTCACACACTTTCACGTGTTTCTTCCATCTGCCGACGGTGTCGCCATTTCTCATTTCACCCGTTTTTGTGCGTACGCCTGGGTCAGAGCTTGCGTGAAGGACCGCGCATTTTACCGTCAAGTTTGCTTTTTATAAATACCCATCATTGCGTAGAGAGCGGCGTACGCCTTCTTTTGTGCGTACGCAACGTTTATAAATGAGGCCCCAGATCAGCATATTAGAATGATTTCTGAAGGATCATGTGACACTGAAGACTGGAGTAATGATGATGAAAATTCAGCTTTGCATCACATGAATAAACGGCATTTTAAAATACTTTACAATAAAAAATAGTTATTTTAAATTGTAATAATATTTACTGTCTTTTTGATCAAACAAATACAGCCTGGCTGAGCAGAAGAGACTTCTTTAAAAAATAAATCTTAATTATTCCAAACTTTTAACTGATACTGTATTTTTTTTTTAACGCTTTCAAACATTAAGAATATTGTCAATATGATGGTGTCAATGTGAAGTTCTTCTACTGCTTATTGCTGGCCTAACAAGTGAAAGCACTTTACTAGATTAAAATGCACTTTACAAGATTAAAATGACAAGATACTCCCTCTCACTCCAAATACATTTTAGATGGTTTTAAAAGAGAAACCTTATGCTTTATTGACAGCTTTGTTTGGACACTGAGGACCCAAGAGCAAAGTTAGTTAACCTTTATTGAATGATAAAGTCAAATAAATAATAATAATAATAAAAACCTCTCTGGCTAAACATATTGTAAAAGATGCTGGCTAATGTAGATGTGCACCAGGTAATCTTGAGAGATTTTGAGGCCCGTGATGGAATAATGATATTAGCCATGTGGGACATTCCATTCTATCTATTCTAGATGAAGAGTGTAGTAGCTAAAAAAAATAGCTTATTCTTATGCACATAAAAAAAATGTATAATAGCTTTAAAATAGCAAAATAATTGTTCCATGTTGCTTGTAGTGTAAGCCAATCACATGGCAGCTACTCAATCTATTTAGGCATGTAGTCATGGTCAAGACAGTCTGCTAAAGTTCAAACTGAGCTTCAAAATGGGGAAGAAATGTGATTTAAGTGACTTTGAACGTGGCGTGGTTGTTTGCCAGACAGGCTGGTCTGAGTATTTCAGAAACTGCTGATCTACTGGGATTTTAACTCACAATCTTTACCTCTAATTTGGCTTTAACAATATGAAAGCATGAATCCATCCTCATCCTGAAAGCATGGGCCCAGATCTCAGTCCAATAGAGCAGCTTTGGGATGTGGTGGAATGGGAGATTTGCATCATGGATGTGCAGCTGAAAAATGTGTGATGCTATCAGGTCAATATGGACCAACATCTCTGAGGAATGTTTCCAGCACCTTGTTAAATCAATGCCATGAACAACCAGTGTAGTTCTAAAGGCAAAAGGGGTCCGACCCGGCACTAGTTAGGTGTACCTAATAAAGTGGCCGGTGAGTGTATGTTAACTTCTTTATCTCTGATTCCTGCTTCAGGTTCCAGCTCACAGTAGAGGTGTTTGATTACATGGACGCAGAGCTTCGATTAGCAGAAGCTGGTGAGTGTTCAGATTATGGTGTTGTCCCAAAAAAAGGTTTTACCATTGACTTTGCAAATGTGGTTATAAAAGTTTCAGGCAAACCAAAATCAACCTTATTATAGAAGTATAAGAAGTTAATGTTGGATATTTTAGTCTCCTACTTTTAGTTTGGTTTTGATTGTGTGTCGTGGAGGTTACTGTCGTTTGAGTTTGACATACATGAGAAAACCTGCATAATCTGGTGCGAGGTTATTTTACTCTGTGTTCTTTATATTCATAGTGCTCCGCCAGCTCAACGTGTCCATTGCTATCTCCACACTGACGTCAAGCCAGTGTAAACTAGCACCGCTCATCCAAGTCATCCAGGACTGCAGTCACCTGTACCACTACACCGTCAAACTGCTCTTCAAACTGCACGCCTGTAAGAGCTCGAGTGCTGCTGTCGCTCCTTCATGCTAATTCTACTGATAATACTTAAAGCTGATCCACAAAGAAAATAGTTGTAAATGTCTTAATCAAATCATAATTAAGCTTCTTAAAAGCTTACCAATGGGGCAGTTAAGTCATGTTGGCATTTCTACTTCAATTTATTATCTTAGTTTTCAAAATTACCGAACTTAAAACCAGCTAATAATGCTCGCAATGTGACTTTAACGTTAATGCATTTCTAATAAATGCTGAAATTGCACCATAATTGCTGGTTTATTGATACTGGTTGGTATGCTGACAGGTTTACCAGCTGACACACTCCAGGGACACCGCGAACGCTTCCATGAACAGTTCCAGAGGTACATTTAATCATTTTCATACTAGATAAAAAAAAAGACATTTTTATTTTCTCTGTAGCATTCTGTACTCTCCATATGATTCACCGAAAATGCTTGAGCTTTTAAGTGTACAACATTTATATGAACATAGCAGTGAGAGGGCATATGTCTTTAATCACTGTATTTTTAGGAAATGGGAAAGAAAATGTTGCATGTGGCTAAAATCATTCAATTCATGGTTGATTTAAATAGCTGTCACTTCAAGTTCACCCAAAAATGTTATTTCTGTGATCATTTACTCACCAACATATTCTCATCGATCATTTTCATAAAAAATGTTTCAATGTATTCTAAAAAGTGATAAAACCTAAATATACAAAGATATTTTTGAACAGAAGATTATCAGTGAATAATGATTTAAATTTCTCATACTGGCTTCAGAATATTTATGTAGCACACAAGTTGTGTTTATGATCATATTTTAGTCCTTTTTTAAATTAATTTTTGAAGCAATATCCATACTGTACACGCCACTGCTCCTCTTAATGGATGGGTTTCTTTTGTAATTTTGTCTGGCTCAGTCAGACAGTGGTGGGCAGAGGCGGGTGGAATGAGAACATGATCACTACATTTTTTTTGATTTACTGCTTAAACCAAATTAACTCAACAAATTATGAAAATGACTGTATCTACTTGTAACATATTTTCTTTGATAGAGTAATAGATTTATATTTACATATTACCTCAAGGATTTTTAAAGAATCCCATGGAGATTTTTTTTTCTTATGTACAGTTAATATGATTATTAATTATCATTATGATGATGATTATATTTTTTAGCCTCCAAACATTCCTCAATAAAGCACGAGATATGCTATACTTCAAAAGGCTCATCCAAATACCTAGACTGCCTGATGTAAGTAAACTATCTTTGAATTCCGTTCAACTTATTGAAACATAATGCTGACAAGGAATAAGGATATATTTGTAAGTGTGATACATATGTTTCTGATTAAGTATTTTCAAAACAACTATCTTTCTTTCAAGTCTCCACCCAACTTTCTCCGGGCCTCTGCTCTGGCTGAGCATGTTAAACCAATGGTTGTCATCCCAGATGAAGAGGAGCTTGAGGAGCCTGAAGAGGATGAACCCGAGCCTCTGATAGATGTTAGCGAAGCACACCCTATCATGGCATCTCAGCCAACGGTACTTAAAACTAATGAGCGTGATCGTATAGATAGGGTGATAAATAAAACATTAATTGTGTTGGCACATAGACCTTTTTGTGGATTGTCAAATGTTGGAGCTTTATAGAACATGTAGCATGATCCATTCTTAAATTTCTCGCCTCGGATTTATTTAGCTTCTTAAATGTCTCCTGTTTTGTTTTTTAAGAGTGATATATTTGACCAGGCCTTTGGACCGCCTAATAATGGATTTGATGATAGGTAGGTTATTCTTGATAATCATACCATAATAATTTGTTTTTATGGGGAACTATGAAAGAGACATTTATGAAAATGTCAGAAAGTTCATATTTTAAAGATATGTCTACAAGTATGTACCTTTACTTTACTTCTTCTGTAACGCAGAGACCTCCAAATCGAACACCTGAAACGAGAAATTGAATTGCTGCAAGCTGAGCTTGAGAAGATCAAAGGAGAGGTGAGACACTGTCCAGATTATTTTCAAGCATTTAGACCTTTGAAATTGGAAAACACAGGGTGGCCGCGGGTCCTTAAAAAGTCTTAAAATGTCTTAAATAAAGTTTTCCTATTAAAAGGCCTTAAAAAGTCTTAAAATGTCTTAAATTCAGATTCGATGGGTCTTCAATATTTCTGGTCACATTAGGCCTACTAATCTTTCTCCAGTCTAACGAACCGAATGTCTGTCAAATAACCAGCGAAGCATCGAATCCCGAGAATGATTCTGATTTTATTACATAAACAGCGATTGATAATGATAATGTATTTCTGGTAGCGCTGTTGAGGCTCGCCTGTCTCTGAGAGATTTTATAGTGATTAAATAAAAACAAACGAGCATAACAGCACACATAAACTCACAGAAGAAACATACTGAGGTAAAAAGTCAAAATGTTGAGTTTTTTATTTATAAAATATGATATAGTTAAGTAACATAACATGACGGGAGCTATTTTGCTGAATATTCTCACGATTGCAAATGTAACATTGATTTTAGTTCAATAAACAAGTAGTTAATATTAAATTACTTCAATTACTTAGGTTCAACATTAAATATTACATAGCCTATAATGTGTATTTCCATCACAGGTTTGGTCTTAAATTTCATTCAAAGTGGCACTAAAAAGGTCTTAAAAAGTCTTAAATGTAACTTGTTAATATCTGTAGACACCCTGAAAACAGTTTTTGAGATGAAACAAGACTCCAGACTAACATCTGAGAACAGTGGCACCTAGACTTGCCACGACATCACCATTTTCAAAGCGGTGCGGTACCATGTATAAATGACCCCTGTGGTGTGGTCCAAAGGAGTAGCGCTGTTTCGTTCTAATTTTGGAGTGTGTGCCATTTGATGTTTCTCATATACAACAGATATGACAGCCCTTATCAGTTGAGCAACTTGATAGTGGCACCAGCAGGAAAAAAGGTCACAAAATGTGACCATTTAGTCACAGTTTAGAGCCCTGTAAAATGATACTGGCTGTTTTCTTCTTCATGCTTCAGCCAAACAGCAAGTCCACACAGCTAAATATGTATCTGTTCAGATTTTGTTTACATTTGTATTGGAAAAATTCTCATATTCCACCTCAAAATTCCAGCTAATTTTGTCAGCAACAACTAAACGGGATTCTCAACTCTGGCCCTCGAGGTCCACTTTCCTACAGAGATTAGCTCCAACCTTGATCAAACTCATCTTCCTATAACTTTCTAGTAATCCCAAAGACCTTGATCAGCTTGTTCAGGTGTGTTTGATTAGGGTTGGAGCAAAAACCCTGCAGGAAAGTGGACCTCGAGGGCCAGAGTTGGATCCTTGGATCTTTTGCATCCTTTTTGAAGCTTGAAAGCGAGCCACTATTCACAGCCACTGAATTGGGCAATGTGGAATATTCATCAACATTTCTCCTTTTGTGCACTGGAATATGTGCTATAATCTCAACATTGTGTTTCTTTTCTGTCCCTTTCGCTTGATTCTACTCTTCCACCTCTCCCCTGTGTTCAGGCTCAACGCTATATCACACAGCTCAAGTCGCAGATCAACATTCTCGAGGCAGAACTGGAGGAGCAGCGCGTGCAGAAGCAGCGCACCCTGGTGGAGAATGAGCAGCTACGCATGGAGCTAGAGACCATCCGCCACCGCAACATTGAACATGAGAGCATACAGAGCAACTTTTTTGAGGCAGAAAGTGAGTTTGTGCATCTCTGCACATAGATATTCTTAAACGAAAATGTGGCAGCTGATGCTGATGACTTTCTCATTCATAGAAAAATCCCAAGCAACAGAGTTGCGTTATAATAAACTGAAGGAAAAGCATGCTGAACTGGTTGCCAACCATGCTGAACTCCTACGAAAGGTATGACAAAGAATACAGTGTACATATATGTGTGTATATGCGATCACAGAGATATTACTTACCTTAGATTGCATTTGTTTCTAATAACTTGATATTCTGTTTTCTGGAAATCGGAATAAATCAACTGGTATATGCCTTTGTTACATATCATTTGTTTAAAGGATATGCAGTTGTGAATGTGTCCTTTATCTTTTATAGAGTGCGGACACAGTAAAGATGCTGTCAGCCACACAGCAGACTCAAGAGGAAATTGAACGAACTAAGCAACAGTTATCCTTTGAGGTAGATAGAGTCAGACAAGAATCAGACATGAAGGTGAGTGTGCAGACAAGTCTTCCTTCACTTGAACTGTAACAGCACCCAAGGACTGATTGTAACAAGTTATCTTGTTGCTTTAGTTTGAAGAACAAAAGTTTGATATGGATAAGCTGAGAAGGGAGCTTGATGCGAAGAATGCAGAGATCCAAAGAGTCAAGAGTTCATTGCAGACCTCTGAGAAGGTATAGTGTCTAGTGTTAACATAACTTTCAGGATGCCTTTCCTTAGCTCGTCGGCTTGCACCATCAGCCAATGAATTACTGTTATACGGGCTTCAGAGAGTTGTCACAGATGGAGGGTTTTCCCATTACTGAATGGGTGTCTGAGGTTAATGAATGTGTTTTTGATTTTGATTTTCTGTGTTTCGTTCAGTCAGGAGAACAGATCAACAGCTCCATGGCTGCACTTCTGGCGGAAAAGGATAGGCTAACACAGTCTGTGAGCAAGAAAGATGCCGAGCTGTCCTCCCTGAAGAAGGAAGCTCAGCTGAAAGAGTGTTCTCTACAGCAGGAGCGAGACAGGACCATCAAGGAGCTGGGAGAACTACAAGGCAAACTCAAAGAGAAGGTAGGGTTATGGGTTATGCCAGGGGCGGCGCCAGATAATTTTTAACGCAGGTGCTGAGGGGGTGCTAGATCATGGACAGGGGGAGCTGCGCAATTAGCCTATCTATATATATATATATATATATATATATATATACACACACACACATTATTATTTAAATTAGCAAAATTTATGATGAGATTTGCTCCAGTTTACGTGCAATGCAATCGCGCCCGCGCCTCCTTATCTTTATCATATTGTCTATATTTGCTTCTTATTTAGGCTATTATACCCAGTCAATTGGTTGATGAAAAATTGATTAAAATTAAGATACAATTTATACAAAACGAAATTCACTTTAAAAAAGGCTTTCTACAAAACAAAAATTAATTTATACTTAATGTAAAAAAATAAAAATAAAAATCCTTTTCCTTTAAATCCTCGCTTGTCTGGCTTATGCTACTCCGAGCAATGTCCGAACTTGGTATTTTGAGCACTTCTTGCGTTGTTTTTGCCTTTTCACGATGACTCGCTTGGTTTAGTCCTTTGAGTCGCTTTGGATAAAAGCGTCTGCTAAAATAAATTACTAAATGTAAATGTGTAAATGTAAATTTAGTGGTCAAAATCATGTCTGACCCATCATATCTTCCGATATATCGCGCATCTTACTCATGCTGTTCAATTTTCATAATCAGCATAGATGTAAAAAAAACAACAACAACATTATAATAATTTAACAAAAATGAAATTAAATGTGCTTATTTAATGGCCACAACACACATATAGTGGGCCTGACTCTCTAAATATTGAAACAATTAACATTAACAATGCTGAAGTGCAGTTAATTAATAGTAAATGTTAACTAATCTAATTAAGTGTTACCGATTTTTTATACACCGATTCAGAGGTCTCGTGAGTTCAGTGTTGGACATGTCAGTTGTTTTAACTATTCATTAAAGTGAATGGTTAAAATGAGTCATTCGTTTGCGTAACGGACGTGTCATTAGTGGATGTCTATACGGCACGCTTGTGTGATTATCTCGGCAGTTTAGGACATCGCACAAGATTTGCGATACAGAAAACATATCACTGGATAGGTTTTTAAATGTGGTTTAGATCAGCTGAATGGGCCGCGGAACGCTTTTTAGAGACGATAAGCTAGGCAACGTGTTTTTTTTAGCACAATTCACACACCGCGGTAATTCAGGAGAACAAATCTCCAAATGCTCCACGTGAAACTGCGGTCTTCCGACCTTTTACTATCGTGTCAATTGATTTTGATTAATATGCGCGAGAAGTGTTTGAAGACGTGAGAGTGTGCGCGGCCGGGACTCGTGATCCGCCCTGTCAAACGCAGCAGTCATTCTATTCTACATCACTCACCGATCAAAAAAGGCTTTGGCGGGACAAAAAATTTGCCGTTATTATGTCGAAATACCGAGATATTATATTGAAATAACGACTTAATATCTCGAAATTACATATATTTGAATATAATTGATTCCAGACATTATTTTGGGGGGTGCTATCGGGGGGCTTTGGTCTTTCTTGGGGGTGCTGAAGCACCTGCTAGCCCCTCCCTAGCGCCGCCCAACTATGCTAATGAAGAAGCCTTGGATTGATCTATATTGTGGCAAATTCACTATATATATTTTTTTGCAAGTCATTATATAGAGCACAACATGGCTCTATAACATAGTGACCACCCACTCAGAACACCTTAGCAACCCAGAACACCATTGAAACCATTTAGCAACCGCCCACAAAACCCAAGCAACTGCATCTATTTATCTACCCATTGTAACGCGTGGGTTAAATGCTAACTTCACAGTTCTTACCCAGCGCTGTTCCGTGGGTTCTTGGCTTTGTTCTGTCGATCGTTTTATCACCACTGTATGGAGGACACCGACAAGGACCTCTGGTGGTCACAACACTTGTTTTATTGAACATTTGGAGGCGAACATCGTGAATTGGCCACAGCTGATTAAAGAGTGTGTCTCATCTCTCTCTCCACTATCACAACTGCCGCGCAGACTTTTCTCTCCTGCAATCTAACTCGTGGGGTGCTGTTCTCGTGATATTATCCCCCAAATCCTATATAAAGTTGTAGAACATTATTTATAACCTTAAATTTCACTCCATAAACTATCTATTAGAGGTAGAAAAAAAACGTACAGCATTGCATCCTGATTCTTTTTTTAGCCATTCAAAATCGACAACCCGAAGAAAATAAAATATTATTCAGAGTTTTATTTTTAACTGCTTATGTGTGCGCTAGAAACAGACTAGTTTGGAAAGGGTAAAGTAAATTTTAGTGTGGGTTTTTGCTGACAATGTGCCATATATACACTATTTTGGTGAAGAGAGTAATACCCACTTTACAACAACAACAGTGCTAAAGACTTGCAATCATTTAACAAAGAAGAAAGCTCCTTGTTTATCTGACAATCTTTCTGTAACTATATATCCTAGAACAACTTAATATTACTTAATATTACCCATATCACCTTATCAACTGCCTAGAGGGTGCACCCACTACCATTTTTCCTTTTCCTGACAATCGGCAAAATTAATCAAAAGCTATTGCTTTTGACCACAATGTAGTGTGCCATTGTCATTATCATGTGACCTACCTGTATCAGATGCGTTGCTTCACCACCATTCACAAATCCTCTCCCATGGCCTCATGGGATAGTAAAGTGTCCATTGTATGCACACTTCAGAATCTCAGCGGAAGAAGTAGGTCATCCGGGTACTTTTCCTTCATTAGTACCGTGAATTTGGACATACTTCTTTTGTCACATACTGTTTTCTACTATATAGTTGTAGGGAAGTATGTGATTTCAGATGCAGCCACAGCCTCAGAATGGAGGCCATGTTTCTCAAGGCACACTACTAACACTGCATGCAAATTTTGAAGACAATTGGACCAACAGTTCTTTAGTTAGAGACAATTTAATGTTTTGTTGTATTATAATGACACCAAATGACACATTCCAAGTTTCGTAACAATACATCAGTGCTTTTGTTAATAATAGTATTGTACTGCAATTTTCAAAATGGATTGCTTCCAAAATGTTTGACATGGGAAATTTGTGTATCGATCATTTTGGTACAGTATGATGCACGGAATCTATCGAGACCAGTCTCATGATTTTTGGTCAAACCATTCAGAAGTTATAACTAAGCATCAAGTAAGCATTCATAGCAATGTATCCCTTTGGTTTGGTACGGATACATGTACTGTTGCAGCCAACGGCACTACATGAATGGTATTTTCTCCACATTTGTTTTGCGGTATTAAATTTAACAATTTATTTGAATGAATATCCAGTATTAAAATTCCTGGCCCCTATTTTGGGGTCACTAGCTTTATACGCATATACCAGCAGTGCACTGTGCTAAGGTAACTTTTGCGCAATCTGTTTGTAGTCGAGTCATGAGGAGCAGCTGCAGCAGAAGTTGTTGGAAGAGCAGTTTAAACTTCTGCAGGCGACAGTCACTGAGGCCGAGAACATCATTCAGGACGCCGTCGCTACACTGGACGACCCCCTGCACATCAGCTGTTCCAGCTCCCCAGGTACTGCCACTCATCCCAATAAAACTTTTTATCTAACAAGTATTGACATTTTTTTATGAGCTGGATGATCTGCATGATTTTAATCAAACAATCCTCAAATTGACTGTCACTAGATTACCTCATTACCCGAGCAGAGGCCACGCTGGGCTCCATTGACAAGGTGCAGACGGGCCACTCCGAGTATGTGAAGAGTATGAGGGGTATGTTCTGTCTCTCACTCCCTCAACATTTATGTATATGTTTGCATATTCTTTATTCATGCTTGAATGTTATGTCCTGTTTACTGTTTTTGGTTCAGATGCTGGGGGTCTGGTTAGGGCTCTTACTAAGTTTTCTCATCTTGCTGCTGACACAATAACCAATGGCAGTGCAACGGCACACATGGCCCCTACTGACGACGCTGACCGTAAGAGCACACACTTATAAAGCTTGCTCTTTGTGGAAAACACTTACATATGCACAAAACCCACAGCTGTGTTAACATGGATTATGTTTAATTGTTGTAAATTGTTTAATTGTTGTAAATTGTTTTTGCAATTTACTGTTTTGTTATGTCAAGACGAATTTATGTTTTTGGACGAATCTCAAAAACATGTTCAGGTGACGTTTCACTCCAAAATCGAATTCATAATTAATATATTAGAGAAAATAAGGCCTATTTTTGCGGCATAACATTATTTCATGACAAAATCATTACTGTATTGAAATATTTATGTAATTCTCATTTTTTGTAATATGAAAAATGTACTATTTAAATTGTACTAATCATTTTATTAGGGCTTGCTGATGCAATCATATCAAGGTATCATATGTCATAATTGATATCAAGGTTTCAGGTTATTGTCAATATTTGATTTGGTTGATATGTTAATTCATATAATTTCCCTTGCATTTGCTGCCAATATGGATTTAATTAAGTTATTGTACGGTATTGAGATGTATTGAATCATTCCAGATGTCATGAGATGTATCATGTTATAAGGTAGTTGGCCTTTTTGCCTTATTTTATTTATTGGTAAGTATTGTAGACTTAAAAATAGAGTTGAGAGAGGTGGAGTTGGACAGGAGATAAAAGAGGTTGGACTCAAAACGGGGTACTAGGGTGAAATGTGAACCTAGGGATATTTTCATGAGATTTGCTCTTGTAGAATTGCCTACGGTGTAACTTTGTGTCAGCTTATGTGTGTATGCGTGTTTATTTATAGGTTTGACAGAGCACTGTAAGAGTTGTGCCACCCAGAGCCTGCAGTATCTTAGGAATCTCAAGTCAAAATCAACTGTGAAGGGGGCTGATCCCACCTCGATTCAAGCTGCGGTGCAGAGGATTCTTAGAATAGCACAGGTGAGGAGTTGCAAAGCACACACACAAGCTCTATTCCAAAGTGAGTGAGCTGCTTTGCTGTCTATATAGGCAGCTACTTTCAGCATCATTCTTACTGAAATGGAGCACTCTACATAGGCAGCAGTTTTCTTGAAGCGGTCATGACATGAGAAATCAAATTTGCCTCGATCTTTTGACATATAAGAGGTCTTTGTACAATTAAAACATCCTATGAGTTTCACAGCTTAAAACCTCCTCATTATAAATGAAGCAATTATTTAATCAAGCTCCAAAAACGTCTCGTTTGGATATTGTGGGATTTGTGACATCACACGGCCAAATACATTTGCATATGACTTCCCCCAGAGCAAGACATCAATGAATAGCTTTACATCATCGCACCATAGGCCCTGCTCAGTGCCCACTGGCATTCAGTCGCTTAACAGCTGATATTTACCTACACTGGATGTGAGCGTCGCATTGTGTTAAAACCCATTATAATCACTGACGCTGTCTACACTGGATACAGTATACAGATGCGGGTTCAGTTTCTGACATACTCCACGCGCTTGAGTCTGCCGACAAGATTTCAAATGGAAGAGTGAAAGAACGTTCGCTTTAATGCGTCTAGTTTAAACAGCTCATAGGCTACGCATGCTACACACAGCCTATGACGTAGCTACGGCGTAGGTTCGACACAGAAGTATAAATCAGCCTTAATGGTTAGAGAGTCAGACTGGTAACCCAAAGGTTGCGGGTTTGATTCTCAATACCGGCAGGAAACAGCTAAGGTGCCCTTGAGCAAGGTACCTAACCCCCAATATCTCCCCGGGTGCCAAAGCAAAATGGCTGCCCACTGCTCCAGGTGTGTGCACTAACTTGGATGGGTTAATGCAGAGGACAAATTCCGAGTATGGGTTACCATACCTTACCATGGCCTTCACATTTCGCTTATATACTATCTTTATTAACATTATAAATTAACCACAAGGAATATATTTTTAAAAAAAAAAATTAAATCCATGTCATGACCCCTTTAAGAGTCACACAATTGTGTCACATCACACAAATAGTGCAGCACATCCAAACTGAGCAATACAGAAAGTTAGCAATACAGTACTCTAATGAACACTAAAAACAGCACACACTAATATTTGGTCAATTTGTTTTAATTATTTCATTTTATAGATATACTGCAGCAAATTGATACATTTATAGCTCTATTTATAATTCACATTCAACATACGAGCTTGTTGCAGTGCATTGTGTATTAATTGATTCAATGTCATTCTTCCTTCTGTTCATTTATTGAAACAATGCCTTAATTATGTTTACACTGATTTTTAGTTATTAGATTAATAATTTTTCTACCTCACATGAATGACTGCTTTGTTAATGACATATATGATATACTGTCTGAAGGCTGACAAATATTGAGATCATTTGTGTTAGCTATACCACCCAACTCAATACACAATACTTTATATACATATTTAAATGCTCACACAATTAATATCTCAATCATTCTTTTACTCCAACTTTTCTCTGCTTGTTTCACTCTCTGATTTTTCTTGTCCCTCTGTTTGTATTATATATTTCCTTTTCCTTTTTCAGGATCTGAGGCCAAAAGGAATGGATGTTGGAAAGGACGAGCTGGGCGACATGGTGGATAAAGAAATGGCTGCTACCTCTGCTGCTATTGAGGAGGCTGTTAGGAGAATAGATGTGAGTAAAAAGGGTACACAGTCATTTATTAGTCACAGAAAACCTCTTCTATCTTAAGCATCTGGTGTAGAACATTCCTGGCATATAATAACCTCATATTGCAGCATAGTGTCCAGCTATGAAACACTGACAGACATGTTCACAGCCATGTTATGGATAATAGCTTTATGAAGTCTTATGTTAGTATTTGTGTTGATACTGGGTCACAGAGGAGCATATTTTGTTCGTATTCACATTCATTTTAATATTTTGTTATTGAGGCATTAAGGTTATTATATATTATATCTTTTGCTTTTGTTTTGATCTTGATTTTAATTGTTTTGCTGTCTAGGAAATGATGAGTCAGACCAGGAAGGACGCAACAGGAGTCCAACTGGAGGTCAATGAAAGGTCTGTGATTTGTATGCCTGTAACCAGTTGATTTGTTGAAACCTATAAAGTGTCACTCGTCCATTTATATGCATTTTCTCTTTTCATATTTTTCTTTAAGGATCCTAAATAGCTGCACTGGCCTTATGAAGGTAAGATTAGAACATATGGAGTTATAGATACTGGAATTGCCTATATATTGGAACTGGAAAATTTGAATTCTATTTACTTCAGTAGATATGTTTCCATCCACCTATTTTTATGCAAATGTGGGGGTATCGCAGGGGTATCTAGCAACATTTACCAACTTTCAAGCAGGCTTTAGCTACTTTCCATTGAAAGCTGTCAACATTGCACAGTGGCTCCCTGATTGCAGCAACTTACATTTTTATTTCAGGTATTTTCCCAGGAAGTGACGATTCTGTTCTCTTAAAACATATGGGATGGAAACTATGCTTGTTATTTTGTGTGCAAATATTTTATGCGATATTCCAATTTTGCGCATAAGTGAAATTTGCAACTTTGATTGGAAACATAGCTAGTGATGTGAATGAAACAAACTTAGTACTTTATTTTAAGGTGTCCTTGTTACTGTGTAATTACACAAATTAGTACTGAGTGATATTAATTAACAACATGTACTTACTATACGGTTAGTGTTTGTAAATATGCATAATTGAATGTTATTACAATAATAAGTACATGTAACGTATAAAAAGGACACTGTTAAATAAAGTTACTGTGTATCATTTATTCATTATTCAAATGTTAATATCCTGCAGGCAATTCGTCTTCTGGTGTTGGCATCCACAGACCTGCAAAAGGAGATTGTGGAGAGTGGAAAGGTAAAGTGTTACAAGTAGTATTAATATTATTATCCTTGTCATTATTGTTTTATACTTAAGATATCCTTGGTGACCTAAAGTGTACTTTAAACTTTAAAGTTAGTTTCAGTCTGTATTATCAAATGGAAAGTTTTAAATCCTAAAAATATTTCTGTCTGTTTCTGATATTATATTTGTGCACGTTTAATTTCTAAAGAGAAGTCCTCAAAGTTTCAATAGAATTGATATAAATGTGATTGTTGTGTGTGTGTTACCTGAGAGATCCCTCAACATGCAACACTTCTTTCTAGGGCGCAGCTTCGGTGAAAGAGTTTTATGCTCGTAACTCTCGCTGGATGGAGGGTCTTATTTCTGCCTCCAAAGCTGTGGGATGGGGCGCAACACAGATGGTGTATGTATTTTTGCTACATGTCCGAGAGTTATAATACATCTTATGATACAAATTTTCTTTATATATGAAAACTGTTTTGTTGTGTGCTTTTCCTTTCCAACAGTGATTCTGCTGATAAAGTGGTGTTGCACACTGGGAAGTATGAGGAGTTGATCGTCTGCTCTCACGAGATCGCTGCTAGCACTGCACAGCTTGTTGCCGCCTCCAAGGTGAAACTTTTATATCATATATTGTAACGTTCGGCCTAATCGGCAGAGTTACGAAGTAAATTAGGGGTCAGATTAAACTGTGTGAGAATTTTCTTAAGTGTTTTAAAAGATGAGACAACAACAGTGCTAACGGGAATAAATAAAGTGTATTTACAAATTTCACAAAGAACTTAAAACACCACAAAACTAGAAAACTTAGGTTGTAAAAGAGTCCATAGGTTCCTCACCTTAAAACAGTCCTTAGAAATCCTTGTGTGCTGAAAGTCCCAATGTGAAAGTGTCCACCGGTGTATATACAATCCAGCTGCAGTGAATCCAATGAAAAGTGATGAGGTTTTGCCGGAAAGGTAAGTCCTTAAGAGAAACTCCTCGATCCTGCTTTGGTCTGCTTGACAGAGACCCTTGCTGTGTCCGAAATCTCCCACTAGTCACTATATAGTGGACTATATAGTGAGCTCGCCATTTTGTAGTGCTGTCCGAATGTATAGTGATGATTATTATACCCTATATAGTCCACTCAATGTATCCCAGAATGCATTTTGAAAAGTAGTGTACAACCGATGGTCACTAACCCAAGCCCTACATACCATCATGCATTGCGCTGATCGTAAAAGACCTATCAGCATCATCTTCATCTTTAACTTACAATTTGACGACGTCTCGGTAGCGTAGCAAGAACAGCACGTCGTTTTCTGTGTCTAGAAATCCTGTTTCTTTTGCTAATCCGCAAAATCTTCCGAATCACGAGAACAAACAAACAAAAAAGATAAATATTGAGTGGCATCTCCACAGAGTCTAAAAGCTGTTTTATTAAGAGTATTATGAGCAAGATATTTGATAACGTAGATCTGTTTTTTTTTTTTTCCTAATGTCGACAGGCAAGAGAAAACGGTGTGGCGCGAAAATGAAAATATATGAAATATGTGTATTAATTTTATTTATGTTTATAAGTTATAATCATGTGTGGAGTAACGCATTATAACAGAAACGGCCAGAAATTACTTTTAATTTTACAATTTTGGAGAAATAAGCTCAATATAATGTAATGTATTTATTTTAAAAAAATCTATTTAGCCCAGAGCTGGCTCGGCACCAGCTGACAGATGATGGCGCGTTTAATCAACGGCGCCGAGAGACGATCAAGTAGTGTCCGAAAGTGGTGTTTCTATTATGCTGGTGAGCTCACTATATAGTGCTCTACTCACTACCCCCTACATAGGGGTTAGGGAGTAGTGGTTTGAGTGGAGATTTCGGACACAGCACCTGTTAGTTTGCCATGCTGCCTCTTTTATCCTGGCTACGTCCTGTTTCCTGTCAGGTGATCACTCACCTGACAGTCAGCCTCATAATCATTTAAAGACATACACACATAAAATATGTAAGAGGAATAAAATGGACTAAAATGACTATGACAACATGTAAACCTATTAAAACTCTAATATAAATAAAATCATCATAATATATACATAGAGTGGTTAAAACATGTGCCATGTGTGACAGCGTCACAATATATAAGGCAGCAAATCAAAGCGATCAGAAAAAAATGAATGATGCAATCATTTTCTAATGCATTAAACGGTCTATTATAGCATATTATTAATATATTAACCACATTGTTTTTCTAATGTACTAATGTTTGGGTTTATATATGTTAATTTTATTTATTTTTTGGGGGGAAGGCATAAATATATAGCTTTTTTGTTGCTTGCAACAATACTGTTGCACCACCTATTGCCTGATGGACATATTTCACATGGCTCCTCAGAATTACATCATATACATGTGCATCACGTTCTGTGAAAATTTGATATTTTATTCAGTAGGAATACCCTTCAGAGTAAACCTGCCTACACCCATGACTAAATGTCCTGGAGAAAGCATGCTGGATCCAACTAGTACTTGACCAATACATTTTAAAGAATCTTCCTACACTGCTTTTGTTGAAATTTGACACACGTTCAATAACTACAGAAATACATGACAACAGGGGTTCTTGAAGCAAAGTTATTTATGTTGAAAGGACCCATTGTGTGCTGAATTTACTGCAATAAAATCATTTATAAACTATAAAAAAACTGTGAAAATAAATGGCTGTAACTTTTGAAAGGAAAAGCAATAGCCATTTAAGTAAAAGCCATTTATTCTCACTACGTTGGTACACAGCCTAATCTAGTCACCCATAATGAATGCACATTTATAACATATTATATTACCCTGTCATTCAATTAAACACACACACGCATAGACAAAAAGTCAACACTGCTGCAATTATCCTGCATTTCAAACTATGGTCTATACTGTGTTGTCTTGTCTCGGCCGTTTAGTTGCAGTCTGGAGCCCTGCACAATATTTGTAATATTTGCTTTGTTTTATCTCTGTTCTGTCAGTTATTTTGTTATCATCTTTGCTCTATCATCTCCAGGTGAAAGCTGACCGTGGCAGTAAGAGGCTGGGTGTTCTCCAGCAGGCCTCGCGTCATGTGAATGAGATGGCTGCTGGAGTGGTGGCGTCCACCAAGACCGGGCTGGACCAGATCGAGGATAAGGGTAAGTGGGAGGTTATAGGGGCTTTTGTGTCATGGTTGCTCATACTTCTCTTTAATTTAAAAAAAAATAAATATATATATATATATATATATATATATGCTATGACACATTTATTAAAAAATTATTATTTCTTTTTCTTCTCATGTGAATATTAAGACACCATGGACTTCTCTGGCATGTCTCTAATTAAGCTCAAAAAAGAAGAAATGGAGGCACAGGTTTGTTTTAACAAGTTTATTTTTGGTCACATGATTAATGAAATTGTAAGGATGTTGTTTGTTTGCATGTATGACTTGACAAATACTTTTTCTGTAAGGTATTAGGGTTGGGGAACAAAGGTTATCGTATCTTTTGGAAGGTTAAGATATCAAAACCTGGGAGTTCTTATTTAGACTGTAGAATGAGTGGAGGATGAGATATAAACTAAAGCCCTCTGTACTCTTTCCCCTCTAACCACCACACACTTCCTTCATTTTCCTTCTATTTATGAAAGTCTTGATGGTTTCTTCTTGAAATCAGAGAGCAGTGGTGAAGTTGTGTCGGGGTCTTTTGGAGCTGAGCGAAGAATGACGAACTTCAACAATGTTACGTTGACTGACGGAGTTGTTGTCTGGAAGTCAAGATCAGAGTCAGATAGTGGTCTTGAACATTACAGAAGTCACACCTATTTAAAGCTGATTTACTGATACAAAGGTGTAATCTTGTGCAGAGAAAAGTTTCCAAACTTATTTACATAATCAGAGTAAGCTGTCAGATTTCTGTGCTGTTAAACTCTTATTACTGTAGAAGAAGTTTAATGAAAGTTATATGGTACACGTCAACATCCAGGAAAGTAAGAGATATTATTTTGAAATGAGACATGTTACATTAATTAGTCAAGCAGTTCATTCAGAAGGTACTAAATGAAGTACATTTTTAAGTTTGGCGTAAAATACAATATAAAAACAAATTGAACAGATTTTCGAGAAATGTGAATATGTGAATTCTTTGTGCATCCATCTAAAGTTCCCTGAAAGAAACACAAATCTATAAATCTAAAGTATTTAACTAAGGTATTTTAAATTTACACACCCATCATCCATTATTTCCCCCACTTAATCAAGCCACTCTTTTGATGACATGAAGTTTTTTTCCAGATGTCTAGGCAATTTGCTATGCCTCTCATACTGAGCTTTTTAGGACATAAACCCTGAGCTGAACCCCGAGGGTGTGGGTTTACCAAACATAATGCACATATACTGTGCGTAATATGTGCATTCAGTTTGGTTAACCCACACCCTAACCCGGGGGTAGGCAAGTTCGGTCCTAGAGAGCCGCTGTCCTGCAGAGTTTGGCTCCAACACTGAAAAAAAATCCTCACCTGCCTATAGCCTTAGTAATCCTGAAGACATTGATTAGCTTGTTCAGGTGTGTTTGATTAGGGTTGGAACTAAATTCTGCAGGACAGCGGCTCTCTAGGACCGAACTTGCCTACCCCTGCCCTAACCGATCTGACCTGTGCAACATAAAGACAGTGATCCAAAATGCACCACATTAAAATAAATCTACTAATGCATCACCATATCTGATGCCAGGGTAGTTTTGCAGGGTTCCTGCGTTGCACGTCACAAGCCTGTAATGAGGATTGTATCTCGAGTCGTGTGTTCGGTCTGCTCACCAGGGGATGATGGTAATAGTCAGACAGGCAGAGGTCAGCTCTGGGAGATCAGTCCACACACAGTGTTAATCCAGGGATGAAGCGAGATCAAGGTCAGTAACAGGCAGACTTTGTTAGGAGGAAGCAGTCCCAAACAGCAAACAAATAATGGAGCAATCTCACTCCTGGTAAGAGCGCGGATTTCCTTGATGTGTTGACGTCATTTCAATTGAAACATGAAGTCATATAATATAAAATGCCAAGGTCACAGGGTTGATTCCCTGATGTGGTTCAGTATACACCACTAAGTTGACCTCCAGCTGCTTCAGGTATTCAGTGTCAATTTAGCAGTCTTGTGCGGTTTGTTGTAACATGTGCTCCACTGATCCGCAATGCTATGCCTGGCCCCGGTGCACTGGTTGATCAATTCTGCTGTCCTAGCAATCATGCTATTCTATATTTTTGAAACAAATTGGATGCAAATGAAAGGCTCAAACTCAAATAGAGTGAAAGGGTCTTTGAATTAAATGCAATTTTCACCAGCTGCTAATGTTTTAAAGTGATGTACAGATTTTTAAGAGTGAATTTCGAGCACTTTTCCAAGACCCTCAGTGGTTTAGTGTATTAATGAATGCTAGTGATAAGTTTCTGAATCCGAGCAGCGCTTCTGTGGGTAAACTCAATATGATGCATATAATATAACCTTGCCTTTTGTTTGCTCGCCCAGGTGAAGGTTCTAGAGCTTGAGACCATGTTGGAAAATGAGCGCCTGCGTTTGGGTGAGCTAAGGAAGAAGCACTATGTGATAGCTGGCGTCCCTCTAGAGGATCTGGCTCTGGACAACGGCCTGGTCGCCTCTCCAAACGTGACCGCTGGCCCGTCATCCCCCAAACCCTCAAAACCCACTGTAATGAAGAAACCAGTTCTTGCACAAAAACCCAACATCCCACCCAAAAGCACGGTAACACTCTTTTTATAAATGTTACACGCAATTTCATCTGTGTAGGTTATTGACTTTGAGGAGTTTTCATATGTTGCATGGAGTCTTTTATAGATATAAGTGAATTTATAAGTGAGTACGAATAGTCATTTTTGGTCACACTTTGGATTAGGGTCCAATTCTCACTATTAACTATGACTTTTGCCTCAATAAACTCCTAATTACTGCTTATTAATAGTTAGTATAGTAATTTAAGGGGATTTACAGTCAAAGACCCAGAACCAGATATGATGAATGAAGACCCACACCAGAATTATTATAAATTGAAGAAAAGTTTTACTGAAGATAGTTTGCAGTTTCATCAGGCAGAAGTCAGCTTCAAGACTCACAAGGAGTTCGTAGGCCGCTTCGCTTACAGTTACAAAGTTCACAGCAGTTATACCCTTCACCAAGCTCTAAGCTACGTCACTGCTTCAGGTTGAAGGATTCTCATTGGCTTAGAAATAGATAAACATAGTAATTTTCCACACATATACAGATAGACTGAGGCATATCTCCATAGATTATGCAGCTGACACCCGGACCCTGAAGTTAGGCACGCCGTGACCTTCCAGGTCGCAGATTTGGGTTGCTGGGCGCCAGCCTGTCCAGAACAAGTCAGTCAATCTCCAATAATGCCAGTGGTTCCTTAACCAGTAACCAAGAAGACTAACACACACACCGACACACAGCTTTTTCAAGGTTGGATTTGGCCATTCCTCTCAAAACATAATGCGTTCTTTCTCTCAAGGAGAGGACACTTTAGTCTAACTGGAAAGTAAGGCTTTAATAAGAAATGGTCCCTTAAACTATAGACTTCAATGACCATACTGTAGTTGTCAGGGTACCCTAGAAAAACAGATGTCTGTATTGACACATGTTGAAGACCTTTCTCAACAAAACAAGTCCATATTTCATTTCTATTCAGATATCAAATACAGACATTAGAGAATACATGAAAAGTATATTTCAGTCATAATCACACTGGTAACTTTTATAACAAAGTAAAATCTCATAAGCCTAGGGAAGTCATTCAACTCATGTGATATTTAGAAGGAAAAATATTAGTATCTTGATTATAATCACTCATTTATGGAAGCTTGTTTCCGCCACAGAATGAAAAATAAAAAAGGTAATTGCGACTTTTTATCTCACAATTCTGACTTTTTTTCTCACAATTGCGAGATATAAAGTCAGAATTGCGTGATATAAAATCGCAATTGCGTGTTATAAAGTCAGAATTGCGAGATATAAAGTCAGAATTTATTGATATAAAGTCGCAATTGCAGGTTATAACGTCAGAATTGCGTGAAATAAAGTCGCAATTGCGTGTTATAAAGTCAGAATTGCGAGATATAAAGTCAGAATTGATTGATATAAAGTCAGAATTGCGTGATATAAAGTCAAAATTGCGTGTTGTAAAGTCAGAATTGTGAGATATAAACTATTCTGAGGGGAAAAAAGTTAGTCTAGCAATTGCGAGTTTATATCTCACAATTCTGAGAAAAGATGTCAGAATTTCGAGACATAAACTCGCAATTATGTGTTATAAAGTCAGAGTTGCGAGATGTAAACTCGCAATTGTGAGAAAAAAAGTCAGAATTGTGAGATAAAAAGTCGCAATTCTGTCTTTTTTCTCATAATTGCGACTTTGTATCTCGCAATTGCGACTTTATTTCTCATAATTGCGACTTTGTATCTCGCAATTGCGACTTTATTTCTCAGAATTGCGACTTTATATCTCGCAATTGCGACTTTATTTCTCAGAATTGCGACATTATATCTCGCAATTGCGACTTTATTTCTCAGAATTGCGACTTTATTTCTCAGAATTGCGACTTTGTATCTCGCAATTGCGACTTTATTTCTCAGAATTGCGACATTATATCTCGCAATTGCGACATTATATCTCGCAATTGCGACTTTATTTCTCAGAATTGCGACTTTATTTCTCAGAATTGCGACTTCATATCTCGTTTGTGAGATAAAAAGTCGCAATTATTTCTTTTCTTTTTTTTATTCAGTGGTGGAAACAAGCTTCCATACTCATTAGATATACATTGAAGCAGCAGTGGATAATCCACCCCCTTCAGTAAGGTAGCTGTTAAGTTTAGGTATTAGGATTAATGGATGTAGAATATGGTCATGCTGATTAAGGCATTAATATGTGCTTTATAAGTACTAATAAACCGCCAATATCCAAGTCATATGCATGCTAATACAAAACTAGTTAATAGTGAGAATTGGACCCTAAACTAAAGTGTTTCCTATTTTTTTTTTTACAGCCTATTATACCATAGCACTGTTGATTCGTTGACAGGCATTCTAATTTGTTAATTAATATTCTATACACGCCACAACATGAACACCACAGACAGGTGAAGTGAATAACATTGATTATTTCGTTACAGTGGCACCTTGGTGTCAACGCTAATCTGATTTGATACCAGTAAATAGTTCTGTAGTTATTACTTTATCAATCATCTTGCCACTGCAATATGTAGCAACTAATAGTTTCAATACTACTGAGAGCCAGGGCAGACGCTATAGTAACACACAAACACAACTTTGTTACTCTGAAATTGATTAGAAACAGACTGATGTTGGACACCTAAGGTATACTTAGGAACTTTTCCCTTCAGAGGTAATAACAGCAGTTTTCTTTTAAACAGTTATCGGACTGTTGGTTTATAGAAAATGTTGGATTGAATCTCCACGCCAGGAATATTGAAACCATTCTCTTTACCAGATCCCGTCTCTTTTGTGTGGTATCTAAAACATGTTCAATATTCAAAACAGAAAGTCTTGTCTAATGCCCATTTCTGGTACCAAACCTGTATTAACTAAAGTCTTAATCTAATCTAATGGGTTATTTCTGAAAAAGTTATTGTGTACGTGAGTCATCAAAGGAAACTAGTTAACAGGCTTGTGATTCGTTTTTATCACGCATCATCAACTAAAGCTTTCTGTCCATTTCTTACAGTTGAGGTGAGCACATCTGGAGGAAGATATTTGAAGACTCAAATTGACACGCACCCAAAACCTTTATTAGTTTCTCTTTCTTTTCCCCATGTCTGGTCATTCAAACGGTTTACCATTTACATGTGACACCTTTGCCTTCTTTCCATTTGAGAGTGCCTTAGAGGCTACGGATTATTTTTATCTTAGATATGGATCTATATTGTACTGGGTGTTTATCATTTGCATACAGTTTCAAACCATTTAGTTTTTAAATTATAGACATTGTTTTATTTACAATACACATAGTATGCAATAGGGCAAGTAGTGGCTTAAAGGGATAGTTTACCCGAAACAATGCTAATTCCAACATGGGCTCATTGGAGAAACGTGCCTCTGCAACACTACAAAAACATACCTATATATACAGATCACAGCTTTTATTCCTTTTCACACAAATTATGAATACAGGGCAGATTGATTCATAATTTAATTTAACTTATTTCAATATTTCAACTGTTTTTGTCCATACAATGTTGTTTTGGATCTCATTGACTTTCATTGTACAGTATTGGCAACAACAACAACAAAAAAAACACTAAGATCTATTTTTCAAAATGTCTTTTTGTGTGTGTGTTCCACAGAAGAAATGCTAACAGGTTTGGAAAGAGTAAATAATCATGTTGATGTGAACTATCCCTTTAAGGACAGAGATAACGGTATTGCAATGGATTTTGTGTGGATGTCTGTGCAATCACAAACGTTATTTTATGTGATTCTTATATAATGTATTTAAAATATATTTAAAACATACTTCATTTTATGAAACACATAAGGGTATTAACATGGTGGAAAATAATTCTGCAATGTTGTGCATATATCTACCAAGTACTGTATAACTAGGATTTAGTGTTTTAAAATAGGGTCTTACAAAAATGTCTTTTGCTTTTCCACTGTGTCTTAATAAAATGCGTCTTTACACATCAACATCTATATATATATTAACATATTTCAGTCATGTTTGACTGTCCCTTGTGATAAATGTAAAATGAACAATAAATATTTGAAGGAGAAAAATGTTTGGAAATTGACTTATTTGTCATAATTATGCAATAAAATTTTGGGCAATGGTAATAATAATATGGATGACATTTTGTGTACTATGATTTATGTAGTATGATTCATCATTTCTTCGAGGATGTGGTGCCAGGGCTGGAACTAACCTGCTTTTTGCAGAAAAAAATTATAATAAAAAAATTCTTGTGACTGTCCCCACAAAGAGAGTACATGACCTGAAATCAGCTACTGTCTCTGCGATAACTTCAAATAACACACACATGGGAACACTTTACAATGCGGTTTGTTAACATTAGTTGACTACTTAGTTTACATGGACTAACGATGAAACATACTTCTAAACATTTACTAATTATTCAAATCAAAAATTGTATATTATTTAATGGACCTGAGCGAACATGAACAAACAATGGACGATTCATTTTTATTAACTAACGTTAAATATGAATAAATAGTGTAACAAATATTGCTCATTGTTCGTTAATGCATGAACTACTTATATAAAATAGATGTTTTATTGGAAATAAGGATTTTTTGATACCAACATTTTCGATATTAGTGAAATTTCACAATTCTCCATATAAGTTCTCAAGGAATTATTGAAGACAAGTACACAATCAGTAATAACATAAGAACAGAGAACGTGTGTCTGCTGCATAACCACTTAGATAATTGTTTTAAATGAAAATGAATAAAAATAAAGTAAAACAAATAAATACAAAAAAACAATCAATAAAGGCAGAAAAGTAAGAGGTCAAATCAATTCAGGACTAGATTTAAGTCTATTTGTTTAGTTTTATCAGGTAATATATTCATTTTTCATTTATCTTATAATAACATATCATTTATTTTATTTAAAGTGCAGATCAAAAGAAGTATTTTTATCACTAATCAGACATTTACCTCCAATTTATGCATTTCCATGCACTGTATTTTTTTCTGGGCAATGAAGAAAAATATTCGTATAAAATATATATATAGTCAAACCTTTGAGGCATGTGTCTATACCTAAACTGACTTTCAAAAATAAAACGACCCTAATAATTATTGACTCGAGGAGTAAAGTGTGACATCTCAGATCTCACCCCGGTACTGTCATGTCGCCTTTGACCGCTAGATGGCAGTTAAGCATAAACTCCGTTAGTGTTTGTTCCGAGAGAGAGGGAGAGAGAAATCATACAAACAAACATATAAAAAAATGCTTTTGAATAATTTACTAACGTACCACATGTGTTTTATAGCCATGCTGTTTGCAAACAAAATTCATGGAAACAAAACTACTTTATAGCCTACAGATTTGCCATCAGCCTTTACAGGCCTTACAGGCTAATTTATCATTTTATTTCGTTTTACCAGCTGGAAGGTCTTGAATCCCATGTCTATTGTTTATGCCTTGACCTTGGACAAATTATAACCAGCTTGAACTAGTTAGAAATCACTTAATATGTTATTTTACACACTGCAGATTTCAGGGGATTTTCAAGCAGAGTAGGCCTAAGGAATGATGTGGTCTTTCAAATGCACTGCACACAACACACACACACACACTGCAAACAAGGAGCCGTGAAATATGCTTTGATTAAAGGCTATTGAATCTTGTTTATTAGAAGTTCATCATCAAAATATGTTTGATCATCTCAATCAGAGTCTAGAGGGGATACTGACAGGCCCCATTTACTGATACTATAAATAAATGAGCCACACACACACACACACACCTCTCTTTTTTTGCCTTTCTATCTCACTATCACACACTTTTACCTGTCTCCAAGGCAAACCTTTTTTTTTTACTTGTCCCCTTGATTTCTTCTGAGAGAAAAAAAGATAAATGGATGCGTATGTGGAGTGAGTTCTTGTCCGCCTGTAATCTGCTGGCATATTTTTGCTATAAAAGAGACATAAACTGACCAAATTTCACAGACATTTGACGAACTGAAATGGAATAATGAGTCCCTGAACAGAGCATCTCATCCTCATGGACGGCAGACAGCAGATTTGTCAGTTCTTACTCCAGTCTTCCACCAACACACATCTGGAGGGACAGATGTTAGACGGCACTGCAAGGGCGATCAGCTGTCCTCCCCGTCTCTCTTACAGTTTATTGCTCAGGCCTCATGTGCAGTCCTCAGGCCTCCTGCCGCAGGAATATGGCATGATCACGCTGGGCTCTTTCTCCAGGGCCTCATTTATAAAACTTGCATACGCACAGATTTGAACTTGGAATGTGCATCCGCCAAAATTGATGCCAACATTCATATTGATAAAAACGGTCTTTGACGTGTAAAAGTGCTTAGCGCCACATCAGGGTCTAGGCAGACGTGTGCACTTTTCCTTGTGGCGAAGAGTCGGTGTACTGCAGGGATTTGGATATCTAAGCAATGATTGGCTGGCTGATTATGATTTCACTTTTCTAACTATAGTGTAATGTTGCTGTTTGAGCATAAACAAGATCTGCAAAGTTACGACGCTCAAAGTTCAAAGCAAAGGGAGATATTTTCTTTGAAAGAAATAGCTTTTTAAGGACTACAACAAATTGGCTGGTAAGGACTACACAAGCTTCCTCCTGGGTTAGTGACATCACTAACCCTCGAATTTACATAAACCCCGCTCCCAGAACACGATTTATGATCAAGACAGAATATGCTAATCAAGATAACTACACGTTAGCTACATAAATTCATCAACTAAACATTCAGAAATGTTGTCGACATGTTGTCACTTATTCTTGAGTCTCTCCATCTTTGGCTGACTCCCGTTTGAACACAAAAGGCTAAAAGTTGTTGAAATTTTCAGTGCATGTCTGTGTGAGGTAATAGAAGCTGCTAAGAATGAGCTATTGTAGCTCCGCCCTCTGTGCTGGGAGCAGCAGCTCATTTGCATTTAAAGGGACAGAATCAAAAATTCTGTTTTTTTGCTCACCCTCAAAAAGTGACAATTTTAACATGCTATATATAAAAATATATGTGGGGTATTTTGAGCTAAAACTTCACATACACAGTCACAATTCTCTGCTTGTTATGAATACAAATAGTCAAATCAACATGGCAATTCTCTGCTTTTCAAGTCACATTAATTGATACCAAACAAAGTGAAAATCCTTGTTCCTCGGTCCACCTGCTTCTTTTGCCACTGCTTGTCAACTAAAGCACAGAAGTTTGGAGATTCTCTGTAGGTCACAGTTTGAAATAGTAGTTTATTGATTGTGAGCACTCAAGTGTACCCAGATGGACACGGACACAGAGAGTGTATTTGTGGAAAAGCCCCAAAACCCATCTGTTGTTTGAAGTGATTCCTGTTGGGACGAGGTGGGGGAAAAGATAAAGAGGCTGATCATGCCTTTCATCAAACTGAGAAACAATGAAATGAAACTCCTTCCAAACAAGAACAATTTCTTTTCAAAGATGTGAAAATAGAGAGAGAGACTGAACCCAATTGAATCCATTTTTTTTTTTGTTAATACATTTTTTTATTTGATCCTATTACAGTGTCTTGGGCCAATGGTAATTATATTTTTAGTATTATTCAAAATATTCCATTGTTTAATATTATTCTTGTTGTTTTATAACTTAAAAAGCTACGACAAGATTTGTATCTTTCTAAACTGGTTCCTTTCTGCCCCAGATCTGTGGTGGGTCACAGCTGGTGTCCCATCAGCTCGGGTAGGGTTGGCCCGCAGTGATGCAGAGAGTAATGCAGGATAAAGACTGGCATCTGGCATGGCACTGGACACACAATTCCATTAAAAAATTAAAGGCCCAGGACAACTGATGGATCTGAGAAAACAGTTTTTTGCATTCACAAGTCACCTGGTGTACAATTCACATGATCATTCTTTAAAGATAGCGTGGTATGTTTGGACAGAAGACGAGACAACAGGCACTACAATGGGCCCATATTGCACAACTCTAAAAAGGTTGATCTGTTCATCTGTATATTCTGAATCCACAGTTTCTCTGTAAAATCGCGTGTAACTTCCCAGAAGCACCTCATACGTGCACTGTAAAAAAAAAAAAAAAAGTAATTTTCAGGAAAACCCTGGCAGCTGTGTACCAGAGTTTTCCTGTTAAAAATACGGTAGCTACGTTTTAGGTTTTACAGACTTTTAACCGTATATAATTTTACAGCAATAAACCGTATTTCATTATCTGATATAATGTTAATTTACTCATCTTTTGAAGTATTAATATCTTTTTTTTCCATTGTAATACACTGACAGCCAACAATCACAGCAGAGATTAGAGTCAAATGGTCAATCACAGCTCATCATTTGCAGCTCTTCCACAAAAGATTTAATACTAATATATAGAAGCTGCACAGTC